TTTGTAAAACATTTTTGAAATATTGTCTTATCTAATGGAGTATATACTTAGTATACCATATACTCCGTAATATTTATTTTATTATAAATCAAAGATTAAATCTAGTTGATTGCAAAAAAATATTCAGAATCGAGAGAATATATCATATCAATTCTTCAAAATTTACCAAACGGGCGTTGAGTCTTATAAAAAAAAATTTATCAAATAAAACTGCGTAGCTTTAACATTTTCATAGTTAATTTATACAATTGAAATATCATCAAAAACACAAAACATAATCTAAAATGATGTTCCCATATAGATGTGAGAAGAAGAGAAAAAATTGGAGTAGAGGGAATAAAGGGGGGAAAACCTGGAAGAAGAAGGAGCAATTGTTGGCGCATATGAACGGCGAGATGATCTATAAGAAAGGAAGGGCTATTAGGCAGATTTGTTTATGAAGACATCCAAATACTGTGAAAACCCTTCTTCTTCTTCTTCTTCTTCCTTTCTTACTGGTAATCTGTTGTTATACAGATCTGTTTACTGGCGGAGACGATCGATGAACTCCACCATCGCGATTGATTGATTGGACGATCGATGGACTGTGTCGGACTCCCGTCGTGTTCTAACGGAGTATTTACTCCGTACTACACTTGCACCAAAATTTTTGTTAACCTCCCTGTAAATTTTTGTTAACACTCCAATATTTGTGTTAGTGTAAACTATCAAAATGTTTGTGTAAAATTGCATTGTACAAATAGGGTACAACTTTTGGTGTAAGTGTAGCATGACCCTTCAAGGTAAGTAGTAATCTGACGTGCTCTGAAATATGGGGCTAGGACAGAATTAAAATAGGGACGTACGGTTAGCATTTTTAGTGGGAGTATGCTACATGTATCCCAAAATTTGTACACCAAAGGTATGTACTGATATTTTGATGATTCACACTGAGACAAACTGTTGGTGCATTTACAAAAATTTACACTGACACAAAGTGTTGGTACGTTAACAAAAATTATCATTATACCAACACAAAATGTTAGTGCATCTCTGCGGTGTACAAAATGGCATACAAATTCTTGGAGTACAAATAGCATTATCCTTTTTAGCGTGGATCATCCCATCACGCCCATAGTGTGAGTCAACGCTACGTCCGTTTTTTGCTTTCACATTATTTCTCATCACACTTCAGGTAGTTCACAGGGAATAGATCACGCTCATCCTTTTTTTCCTTTAAAACTATTTTAATTTAAATTATTTAAACTAAAAATATAAAAGTAAAATAAAATTCTCATTAATATTAAATTTAAAGTTACATTGGAAAAAAATGAAAGAAAATCAAAGCGATTGATGGCAAAAAAACAAGTACTCAATTAAAAAAATACTACTCCGTACTTGATAAAAAAATCACCGCCCAAGTTTTCGGTTGCACCTCCAAGCCACTTCTGGCTAATTTATCCTTATTTTTAGAATAGTTGCGCGCTCCAAAGGTGACAAATCACCAATACTCGACATCACAATCTCGTGGTCTTTTTGCTTATAGACGCCTTTTTGCTCTTGTTGTGCCTCCTCGAGGCCTCTTTGTTTCAGTCAAATCTTCTCCGACTACACCTAGTTGAAGGCAACCATGATGGACATGAGTTTGTCAAAAGTTGGGTTTTGACTCTGACCTGCGACGATGACGCCCATTTCGCCTTATCCCTCAAGACGGTCGTGTCGGGTCCGGAGAAGTTAGAATATCTTCGTAGTCACTCCGTATCGCAGATGTCCAACAAGCGTAAGTAGTCCACGATGGGCTACTGTACTCCCTAGTGTAACACTCCAACTCACGTAATTCGAATAAATAAGTTAGAGAACTAGTTTACTAGTAATATAATTTGGTATCCACGTGCACGATATTTACAAATTGTTTAAAACAAACATTTGTGAAAATTAAAAAAAATAGTCATATCAAAGTAATAAATCAAAACAGTGTGTAAGTCTTTTAAACAATACTGGACATGTTCTCTAAAATAATTAAATAGTTCAATATAATGGCTAAGCAAGATAGTTTGAGGTCATCCACTTCACCGAGTATCATAAGCAGCCGGGCAGCTCATCTTATCTCTTATTCCTCCCTGCGTGTAGTCAAATACAACACATACTACACGCTCAACTGAAAACTGAGTGAGAATATATCTAACACTCGAATCAACTTAAAAAGTTGTACCATAAACATATACAATTACACAATATCAAACAAAGAAGTCACATCATCATATCACATAATTAACAATCAAGATTCATGCACTCTTATCTCATCGTCTCCACTATTGGCCAATGCTTTGAAGAAGACATCTCATTAGGGGTATTGCCTGCTGGTCATCCATCTTTCATTTACGTGACTTAAATATACATCAAGAATCACAATGAAACACGTCAGACTTAAAACGCACCTAGATGGAGTTATGGCGTATTGCGTATACGTGGGCACAATGCATGTGGAACGTAGTCCATTTCCCATATTGACACATTCAGTTAATAGTTAACCATCATTTTGAAATAAATAAAAACTACTCCGTAATTATTTGTGAGGAGAGAACTATTTAAAATAGTTGAATATTGATTTGGAGATTTTTTTTGTACAATATTATTTTGGAGATTTTAATCATCTAAATGTAATTTGAAGATATGAATTATTTTAATAACAAAGTTTTGAAATATATATTTTTTATAATATATATGTGTGTGTGTGTGTGTGTGTATATACTACTAGATATTAATGGTCAAAGTGTTACATGGAGATTGTGAAGAGTCAAAGGAGAAGTTAATTTAGGACGAAGGGAGTACATTTTAATCAATTACGGAGTATTTGATAAACTAAAATACTTTTTTGCCATTTTTGTAGAATTTTTAGTGTAGCTTTTTAATATTTAATTTTGTTTTTTAATCTTACATCAATTTTTACATATATTAATTTGGAAATGACTTAAGTCAAACATCATAAACTAAACATAGATCTTATTTTTGAGACGGAAGGAGTATTTTTAATTCATTTACCATATAAATTGAATTGGAAAAAATTCAGTCAACCACAATACCAGAGCTTTTACTATTTTCAATCTCTCTTTTTTTATTTGCTCTTCAAACGAATCAGTTTTCCAAAAAATACTAGGTTGTATATTAAAATATCTGAGGAGTGTTAGAAGGGTGATATTGTCCATCCAAGTTCAAAACCAAGATAAAAACATTCCTACATGTCAATCACATTTGTTACACACATTGTTTAGATATATAGTTTCACCACACAGAGGAGCAGAAGTGTAGGATTTCGAAACCAAGAAGGAGAACGAACTAAATTTTGAAACGGAGGGGGAACTAGCAAGCCCGTGGTCAAACCAGTCTGGTCCGACCCATTGGACTGCTTTGCGTAGTGAACCAGTTTGAACCGGTAAGAATCGGCCGATTCACCCGGTCGGACCAGTTTTTCTTCCTTTTTTGCGAAAATTAGCCAAAAAATTAACCATCTCTAGGAGTCAACCCCTAAACCTCTTGTATGTTGTATTGAGTTATCCACCAACCGAGCTAGAATGTGTTTTGATATTTCTTTCAAGCAGTATATATATTCTGCAATTAAAAGAATAAATATGTATTAAAAGCTTTTCTTTTTTCTTATACTAGGATTCCTAACAATTAAAAATACAATTAACTCTAATATGGAGTATATGTTGCGAAAAAAATTTGTTTGAATATTTTTGGATATTCAAAAAAATATGTAAAAAAAATAAAAACATTCTTATTTTATAAAACTTTTAATGCATTTCTCGATATGTGAATTTCATTTTAAATATAAATTCACTAATAAAATAAATTAAAATGATTATAATTTAAATCAAACATCATAAAATTTTATGAGCGGACAAAAAGAGCTATTTGTATTTTATCTAAAATAGTAATTATACACACACACAATATATATATATATATATATATATATATATATATATATATAATACTTGAACCACTAGTTCGACTAGCGAACCAGTAAATCAGTATCTTGACCGGTTCAATCACCGATCCGTTTCTTAAAACTATGACTCCGTACATGTGGAGTATTAATCTTTGAAAATTTACTAATACTCGAACATAAATTCATCGTGACGTAAATATAGACGCAATTTATAAGTGACATCTCTGTGTGACAAATGGATATATTCTCCCCATTCCAAATTAGATAATATTTTTCTATTTAGAAGATTAAACTTTGTATATTTTAAAATTTACTTATTTGAAAATTCATATAAGAATAATTAATAAAATTTATATAGTAAAAAACTATGTCAAGAACTTTACCAAAAAAAGAAGTGATAAAAATATTTTCTTCAGACTATATTGGGCTAGGTCTAACGTCTAACGTCCTATAGAATGATAATACTAAAAATTTTGTGATGGACGGTATAATTGTATTTTTTTCCAAGCGAAAAGTCACAAGTTCGAATCAAACTAGAAACATTGATTTTTTAAGCTTTATTAGGAGGTTTTGCTAAATCCGCACTTAAAATTGTTATTATATCCATACATTTTACTTAAATGTGTTAAATGCACACATGCACAATGCTATACGCTTAATTGATGTCAGTGTAGATTTAACAAATTTAAATGAAAGATGCAGATGTCTGAATTTTTTTCAAAAAGTATATGTAGGAGCAGATCAATATCGTAATGAAATTTATCACACACATTCAGATGAATGTAGACTTTAAGTCCTCACCATTTACTCCGTATTTAATCTAATCATTATAGAAATTAAAGTAACTTGCTATTCACTATGTGCAATTCTATGATTCTATCCATTCCAAGGTTAATCAAATGTTTATTTGTATTCTCATTGTTTATTATTTATTTATGTGCAAATCAATCTATGAACATTAATTATGAACAATCAAATTTGAAGAAATTAATACATACCAATGATAGAATATTTGTTGTTGTAAGTGTAAATTTTCTATAAAAAGTCCATCATATGGATAAAATACCTTTTCTACCCACCAAATTATTGCTAATGTTAGGAGGGACCAACTTATAAATGTAGGAGGCTTTTGCTTCTTCTTCTTTTAAAACTTATTAAAATTTTCCCGGAGCAATTAAAAAATATCTGTCAAATTTCTCTTCAATTCGGTCTAACAATGGCCAAACACTCCCCAACGGCATTTTGTGCTCTGATTTGTCTTATCCTTGCAACAGGTTAGACAGATCTACACCCTTCATCCTTCTTTGATTTCATTTTTTCCTTTAATCGGACGGCTAGCTGCAACTTGTTTTTTATTCATCATCACTTGTAACGCTCTTTGATCACGTGTTAGATTGATCATTTAATAAAATAAAATAAAATAGTAATATTAGTTTCTCTTTTATGATTCATTTGATGAAGCTTTTTTAATATGTAATTCTTATATCATTTTTCAAATAAATCGAGGTAAAAATAAATGTGATGTCATATTATGACAATAAGGGTGCTTAAGATTCTACAGTGCACCCTCGAAATTGATACTTAGCTACCCCCGTCTTCATGTTTGCCAGTTGGCAATAATAATTTATTGTTGCCACTCTCAAACACGAAGCGACAAAAGAGAGGGTAGTTTAGGGGGTATCAGAGGCAAAAACCTAATTTAGATGGATAAAAACATAGTAAAAAACCTAAATTGAGAGCAAGTCATTACATGACAGTATCCTCTATTGTCATAACCGGATCGATATTTGTGTTGGTAAAATGATTTTTTATTTACTTGAATGCTAATTGGATTCAGGTGCTTTGTCATGCGAGCTATTTCGTAGTCCTTTGACGTCGTTGCAGGCGGGTGATGTAAATGCGACATCGCACGATGAAATAATGGCACACACAGACTACCATTATCGATGCGTGGGAAATTTTGGACCGTGTGATAATCACTGCGACGAGGCTTGTTGTTTTAGGCTTTGTCGTAGTTCATATAGTGACCTTAATCCATGTCCTATTTGTAGCCCATATGGCTCTCTTAAATTTTGTTTGTGCTATCATGATTGCTATAATTAACACAACTAGCAATCATAGCTTTTTGTATTAAAGTTATGGATCATGATGTAATAACACCGAATATGACATCACTAGAATCATATCGCGCGACAATGATTTTTCACCAATTGATGGAATCTTGAGTTTAGGGTACTTAGATCAAGATTCCATTATTGTAAAAGGAAAAAAAAGAAAATGTAAAGAGATGGTGAAGAAGATGATGAATATTGGCATCCAATGTGGTGGTGAATGTGTATAGCGTATATTGTGGTGGTCTTGACTCCCCCTCATAGAGAAGGTATAAGTAGGGGAAATTAGGGCCAGAGTTTTGGCCAACCCATATACAAAATTCATGGGCTGGCCCAACAGACTGGGTCACTCTAAAATAGCTAATCACTACACGAATAATGGGTCGGCCTAACAGGTAGGATTGTCCAAACCAACATTGTGTCCCTACTCGCTTAGTCATACACTCATACCCTCATAGGGCGGGGGCTTTTTTATTACGTCGGTACAAGTTATACATACAAAAGTGGAGTCCAACTGTCAACTCAATTAATAAATGAAACTAAATCGGAAAAACGCCTATTCTAAATTTTGTGTGACTAGACACAAGCTTTAGAAGAGAGATGAGACTGCATTATCTCTTCTCCCTTTCTTATAAAAAATATGGTAAGGCTCTGTTCCGTACGCCTAATCTGATTGAATCTGATCTAAACTTTTGAAGTTATGATCTGACCTAATCTGATTGATCCTGATCTGATTGGATCTGATCTGATCTGATTGAGTCTGATACGATCTAACTCGGTTTGATCTGATCTCATTGGATCTGATCTGATCTGATTAGATCTTATCTAATTTGATTGGATATGATTTTTTCTAATGAGATCTGGTGTAAATGAATATAAATTTGATTTAAATTAAACTTAAAATTATTAAAAAGTTTAATTGTTTTAAAGTATTACAATTCATATATACATAAAAAAAAGTAGAATAAGAAAATCATCTAATCATTGATATATTTAAACTTTTTTGAAATATTAAACATCTTTTATATATCACTTCTTTTTAAATTTTTGTGAAAACTAAATAATCGGCATTAAAATAGCAAAATATTAGAAATTCTGGATGATATTCTACAGAAATATCACATTCTGTATACATATCACATAATAATATATTTCATGTTACAAATTAAAGATCATATAAAATTTTAAATACTAATATCCTTTTCATCTCTATCAATTTTGTCATAAACTCACCCTTGAGTATATTATACCATCTTAAAGTTTAAAAGTAAGTCTTTTTTAATATAAAATATTTATGGTTTTGAAAACTAATTTTTTATAATTCTTTTATACACAAGTATTTTAAAATAACTCTTTTAAAAGTATGAAAAATTCAACTTTTTAACCTTTAACATTTCTTCCATGCATCATTCCTATCCTACAAGCTAAGCAATTATTAAAAATGATGGTTTGTAGTTAAAATTTAATAATAATAATAATATAACAACAAGAATAATAATTAAAATTATAATATTAATTAAGATTTAGGTGTGTGTAGTTTTAAATAAAGTAATGTGATTTAATCAAATACTAGTAATTATTATTTAATCCTTGAGAATTTAAATATTATTTTTATATTTTTTTCTTGATTTGATATTGTTAGATTAGATTTGATCTGGTCTGATTTGATTTAATTGGATCTGGCCTGATCTGATTGGATGTGATCTGATTGGATCTGGTCTGACATTTGATCTGATCTCATTGAATCTGATCCGATCTATTTGGATCGGATCTAATCTGATTAGGTCTGATCTGATCTGATTTTAATAAGAATAAGTAATAAGTAGAAAAAATAAATCCTACGGAACGGACCCTAAGACTTGGTCGAAAAACACAAAAGTTTGAAAAAAAACTCATTCCAATTTATATTTGTTTTTGATTAACAATTTGAATTTTATCCGATTGATTTTGGAGTGAACGCCCAAATAATCAATCTGAATGTGTTATCACGACTTTCAAATAAATCTGTGTTTTTTCCCCAACACAAGTTTAATCTTCACATTTGATTTTTCTTGACCAAAGGTTTCACATAGATATGCAAAACAAATATTGTGTTTCAATATAAATGTAATATCAATAGTTTTTTAAATATAGTTTTGATATATTAAAATTTTATAATAATAATATATCAATGTATAAATATTGATATAATATTAAAAATTTTGAAAAATCAAATGCAAAGATAAAATGGGAAGGTAGAGAGTAAAAATTGCAATTGAGTTTGGTCCTGTTTGTCACCAAGATAGATGTTAGTGTTTTAAAAAGAGTATCTAACAGTAGTCCTTAGTGTTATTTTTTTATAGTTAATCTACAGTATAAAATTTTTATCTAAAATGCTATTGTTAATCGCAAATGTTATTCTTAAGGGAAGGGATAGGGGAATCCACTTGGAGTACACCAAATATACACCAAGTTAAAAATAAACATGCACATACATTTAATGTATGTGCGTGCACAGATATTAAATGTCTGTGCGTACCTATATTTTAAAAGTTCAAGAGATGCACCAATATTTTAAAAGTTCAAACAAAAAAATTTGTTCTGACATTTTGTGTGATTGTAAACTTTAACACTAGCATTACACTAGTATACAATATTTGACGTATAAAGTGAAATATACTTTTTGAGGTAAAAATAATTTAATTCTTTAAGATAACCCAAGTAAAATTTCCCAAGTATTTTCCTATTCCCAAACAAGTCTTTAACCTCTAACCGAGATACGAAAGAGACAGGCACTATATTTGCATGAAAGGAAAATACTGTACTCTCTACAAAACAACACAACAAAAAAGAAAAGAAAAAAAAAGGCAATTTTGCCCAGGAAGAACTAACTATTCGTCACACCTTTACCTTTCTCTCTCTCTGCACGCATACAGTGCTCTGTTGCGGGTCGGGAATCCGCCATGGACGACACCGGAGGATCGCGAGAGCAGCCGTGTCCCAAGCTCCTAATTGCGTACACTGAAAGCTCCGGCGGAGACACTAGCGGCGATGAACAGAGGGATGCGAGGACGACTCCGGCCGGGACCTCAGAGGAAGAAGAAGCTGAAGTGGGAGGTTCTGACTCGGAAGAAACCCTAGATGTGGCCGGCTCTTCTTCCGTACAGTTGTATAATGGTACCGGCCAGCCGGATTCCTTTGACAATTCATCTCCGCTATTGCTCTCAGGTGCTTCCGATTCTCTTCGTACATTATGTGAATTTCGATCTATGAGTTCCTCCGCGATGATTTGTGAATGTCAATTCAATGCTCGATGAATGTGATCGTTTTTTGTTGAATTGCGTGCAGAAGTTCCTATTCAGTATAGCTTTCACCCACCTGGCTTATTGAAGGAAATTAAGGTGAATTTGCTTGAAATGACTAATTTTTTATTCAAAACTGTCAAGGAACCAACTCAAACAAAAGCTCAAGCTTGTGGTTGTGGCCCAGGAACAGTTATTTATATTCTAACACGCCCGTGACGTGCAGGCGTAGTCTTTTTCCAGCCTTGCACGTGAAACCTTTTTTTTTAAACTGGGTGGCGCTGAGTTTCGAACCTGTTACCTCTTAGTCAACGAGGCTCCGATGCCATGTCAAGGAACCAACTCAAGCAAAAGATCAAGCTTGTGGTTGTGGCCCAGGAACGATTATTTATATTCTAACAAAAACTTGTAATTGAAAACTGTGTTTTAGTTGAGTGACATGGTACTTGGTAATTTAAATGGGTTTCCTGCTTTCTAATTGCCAAAAAGCCAGCACTTTTCAACCTGCAGCAAGTAGTACTTGTTGATTCAACATAATGCCCTAAAATCATGTGTATGAATGAACTATTGGCAGCACAATATGTGTTCTATTCAGAAGAATCGGAACTGATTTAACATTGACTCATTTTGTTTTCATGTGAAGTTTAAAAAATGTAGTCGTACCATGATTTCCTTTTCATTCTCCAAGGGGAACTTGAACATGAGTAATCAGTTTCTCTTGGCATTTCCATTTCGTTTGCCTAGCATTTTCTGGGATCCAAACATACCCAAAAAACGAGATTGAGAATTTTGACGTTGGAATAACTATGGGTGCTTTTATTTCAGCTATGTTTTATTGAATCGACACGAATTCATTTGGAGCTGTTCCTGTGATGGTAGCATGGGTTATTAGGAGTCTATGTTCATATGATATTCATAAGATGAACGTTTCTGTTGATGTTATATTAATTTCTTTAGGATGATGTTGTCTTCTCTGCCCAGGAAGCTTCAACTGTTCAGTCCAAGTTGGAACTATCTCCGACTTCAGTCACGCAGTCTATTTTGTCCATCCCCAGCCCAACTCTGGGAGAGCAAAGATTATTATGTCCACGAGAGAACATGACTGACAAGTGCATGCAGGAAGTAGAAGATAACCAGAAGTCTTCCTGTCCTAAGTTGTTTTATTCGGTGCCTGTCTTGAAAATTCCACCTCCTGATGGGTACATGTACAATTGGAGGAAATATGGTCAAAAGCAAGTGAAGAGTCCTCATCAAGGTTCCCGGAGCTATTACAGATGCACATATTCGGATTGCCATGCAAAAAAGATTGAGTACTCTGATCACATGCACCGTGTTACAGAGACAGTTTATAGAAATACTCACAATCATGAGCCGCCACAGAAAGTAAATATTCCAAGAGAAACTAAGCATACACTCTCACCCTCGCTTCCTAGTCACGATAGTAAAATAGCTCATTTGAATAGTAGTTCTGATGCGGCAGTGCTATCAATCCTATCATCAACCGGAAAGAAGCATGTACAAGAACCAAAACCAATATCACAGCTTAGGGAGCACGAACCAACTAGATTGAATGACAATCCTGCAACTAATGTTAAAGGGGAGGATGGTGATGGACTAGCACAGAATAAAAGGTGAGTTTGTGGAACTTTCGTTGCATAAAAACATGTTTCTACTTGCATTCCAAGGCAAGTCTGGTCAAATATTAGAGAGAGAGAGTTAATTCCTGATTAGTCCCTCAACTGTACACTTTCACTCAATTTCGTCTTCAAACTTGAGTTGGACTCTGGTTGGTCCTTGGTTTTGCAAGGCTCTAAAAATACAGAGTAGGAACTAAGAAGTATCTTTGCTTGCCCGCTGTATTTAGGCCCAATTTCAAGACTGAAGTTGGCGGGCATAGACTATGTGCTTATGACCTAATTTAGCCTCCAACATATGAAAATACCCTTATTATTTAGAGCATATCTTGCATGAGTACAAAGTTGAGTTTGAATTGCATAGCCAATGACCAAGTTGAGTCCAAAAGAAAGTGACCAAAGGGAGTAATTCTAAAAAACCCTATATACACACTAATACACTCAGCACCGTTCACCTTTGAAATTTCAGATTGAGGGAAAAAAATTCACCAAAGTGCTCCGAGTTTCTTCCTAATCCTGACAAGAAAGCAAAAATGGTTGTTCATGTGTCTCGTGATGTGGGAATCTCAAGTGATGGATATAAGTGGCGCAAGTATGGCCAGAAAATGGTCAAGGGGAATCCTCATCCCAGGTGAAGTCCCAGTACTTCACTCTCCATCCTACCGCTTGCTTAGTCGCTAATGCTTTGTTAGAACTCTGCTCATATGTATACTCACTACGGAGTATTTAAAGTGCATACTCAATACACTCCGGTTCTTTAACACCCATTTTGGGTGTCATAAATGACACCAGGGTGCTATGATGCTCTGTTGGACCCATAGTGATTCCTACCTCCCCTAATGGCATAACCCCGTGCCCAGCTCTCTCTCCATTTCACAATATTGTAGCATATTGGCAAAATGAAGAAGGGGCAGTGGGACAAGGGCAAGGGGTTGGAACGACCTTGGAGTCCAACAAAGTACTGTAGCACCCTCAAATGGCCGGTTTATATTATGACACTCATTACCTGTGTCAAAATAATCCACTACTCAACAACTTGTACCATGCCATATGTCTATCTATATGTATTTCTAACCCGGTTTTTTACTCCCATTTCAATGTCAGGAACTACTACCGGTGCACATCAGCTGGATGTCCAGTTCGGAAGCACATGGAGAGGGCAGTAGGCAACTCGAGTGTCGTCATAATAACCTACAAGGACGTGCACGATCACGAAATGCCCATGCCCAAGAAACCGTATGACCCACCTACTGCTCTCCCCTTAGTTCCCACCACCGCCCAGTGGCCAGTGGAAAAAGACAGCGCCGCGTTGACAGGTGAGAAATCGGAGCAGGAAGGAGAGCCAAACGCGAACTCGGGTAAAAGTCTATTGAGCATTGGATTTGAAATAAAACCTTGTTGAGATCCCTCTTTTTTGGGGATGACTATTTCAGCTGTAGAAATGGCATTGTGTTAGCTGTATGTATGCGTATTGATTGTTGGCCGTTTGGTCTGTACACCTTCCATTTAAATAAAAATCAGTTGCAGGGGGGGACAAAGGGTATGACTTTATTTTATTTGTCTTTTTGATCTCTGTAAATTGTTGGGGTGCATCAAGTTTGTCATTTTTATCGATCACCCTCATTTAGGATAGTGAATAAGGACTTTGACTTTCTTTAATAACTCTATTTTCTTAACTACTCCCTACTAACTAGTGCGAAGTATTAACTACTATTCACTGGTCAAAATAATTCTATTTTCTTTATATTTTTTATCCATTATTTAGTTTTTAATTTTATATTTTCTTCAAACTAACTCACTTGTCTTGTATAATTTTTTATAAAGTTTTTAATATATAATTTTTATTTTTTAATTCTATACTAATTTTACTTATATTGATTCAAAAATAACTTCGTTTAAGTTGAATAGAGGTCTTATTTTGAGAAGGAAGGAGTATATTTCGTACCAACAAACACGTTATTTCTATCCATCACACTTATTAAGGATGGTGAAAAAGGGCTTTGACTTTCCTTGCTATCCCTAGTCCCTACACACTAAAAGGCTTGTCTTATTGATTTAAAGTTGATAAACGATTTTTAATTTATAAATTGCTTATAAGTTAAAAATTCTTCTGTGAAGGTAAAATGACTTAAATAGTACTTGTAGATAAGTTATTTAGGAATATTCATAAATGATGAGATATAATTTTGTAAATAATCAGGTTAAAACGGTGAACTGAAAAAAATGACTTAAAAAACTACTCTGTATCTCCATTTCACCATGTATTCCAGTCTCAAAATAAGACTTCAGTTCGCTTTATGATGTTTGATTGAAGTTATATCCAAATCAATACAAATAAAAATTGATGAAGAATTTAAAAATAAAAATTATAAATTTAAAAAAAATTAAAAACTTTACAAAACAACAAAAATGTTATTTTATTTTATTAAATAACTGATAGAAATATATAAAAAAATAGAATTAGTTTGACAAGTGAATAATAACTAAGACTTTTTTTTATAAGTATACAATTATAAATAAATAAATAAAAGTATTTGTTTCTAAATTCTAAAGCAGCCCAATCCCCCGCCAGCCCGCCAAAGCACTTCTTCTATTCATCTTTTTCCCATTTTTCCCTTCCCTTCTTCAGCGCCGGCGCCGAGCGCCCCACCGCCAGCAGCGTCTTCTTCTTCTTCCTTTTCTGTCTTTTTCCTCTTTCGATCTGTGTGTGTCCAAGCCGTTTCGGAAAAGGGAGACGACAACCTATATGAAGTTTCCGTGCAACATAGACTATGCTGCTCCGTTGGATTCCTAAGTAGATGGCCTGGTTGAGACAACTCAAACAATGAAAAATTAAATACGGAGTATTAAATAAAAGCAATAAATCACAGTTTCTATATTTTGGAAAAGAAAATAAATTTTCTTGAACGTTTCCTTATTTGATGGTTCCTTAGGATTCCTAGTCACTTTTTGTTGCTCGATGTATTTCTTTTAAATTATTCTCAATGGCCTTAATTAATTCAAAGTTTCGACATTGAATAAAATTAATTGAAGGGGTGCAATTGAAGGGGGTGGGGGATATGTTCGGGTCGGGGCTGGGTGGGGGTTACCAGGGGGTTAGGGGGTGTAGAAACTGTCAATTTTACGAACGGGACACTGGAGTGCCCCCGGGTACATTGAGGTCCAATGTCACTTGAACTTTCCCGAAAGGAAAGGGGGCTAGAATCGAGAAGTAAGGAGAAAATGGAAAAAAAGAATGGAAAAAGAAAGCAACGAAAACGGAATAGAGCCGAAGAACAAAGTGCAGGGGCGACCTGGTGCGACGGCAACGTCTCTTGCTCAGCTCCAACTCCTCATCTTCCTCTAATTTCAGAGTTTAGTTCTTCCCTTCTTCTTTAATTATGTCAAGTTTTACTATCAATTTTGTTGAATTTTACATTATTTTGGCTAAACTCCTTGGCAAGGATGAAGCTCATATATTCGATTCGATTTTTCTCTATATTGATCTTAAATGTTTATTGTCTATTTTTCCAATTGATTATTAGGGTTAATTTTTAGATGAGTTCAATCATATTTTTCGCATGCTTTGAATAATCTTGATGATTGTTTGACAAGTTAAAAAAGAAGATATTAGTTGTGATTTCTTGTTGAGATACAATTAATGATTTGAATTTCTCTTAAAACTTTGAAAAATAGCAAACTATATAAATTATTTATTTAGAGCTTAATTGATATATCCTCCATAATAACGAGAATGGTTGCAAGATTATCATGCAGAGTAAGTTTGGAAGAAATTAATGATTGAGTAAAATTAAATTTGAATATATAAGTGGATTCGAGGTCCTAGTTCTTTCTCATATTTGAAGACTTATTTTTGATCTCTTAGTTTTTAGTAGTTAGTAAAATCTTTAGTTTTTGTTTAGTTTAAGTTTTTTTTTAAACTATTAACTTTCACATTTAGCTGTTTAGCTGTTTTTAAATATTATTATTTTTCCAATTAGATTAGAATTAACACAAATAATGTTATTTTATTTTATTAAATTATAAAATTATAAATTAAAAATAATTTAAAAAAATATACAAAACAAGTAACAAAAATGTTATTTTATTTTATTAAATAACTGATAAAAATATATAAAGAAAATAGAATTAGTTTGACAATTCTAAATAAATAAATAAATAAACTTACTTGTTTCTAAAATTCTAATGCAGCCCAATCCCCTGCCAGCCCGCCTAAGCACTTCTTCTATTCATCTTTTTCTCATTTTTCCCTTCCCTTCTTCAGCGCCGGCGCCGAGCACCCCACCTCCAGGCTCCAGCAGCGCCCTTCCTCATCCTTTTCAGTACACCGGAACACCGAGGCCGGCGCGTGGCTTGTCTTGTTCCTCTACTGTCTCCCCGTCCCCGGCCGTCATTGCTCCGCTTCCGGCGACCTCAGGCTAGTGATTACCTCTTCTAGGTTTCCCAATTTTATTCTTTTTAAACTCTCAGTTCGTTTTAGCGTTTTATTCCTCGTACCATTTAAGTTTTTTAGGAGTATTTTTTTTAAATCTGTAATTGTTATGTTCTGCTGTTTTGCTTCATTTTTAATGCTCTTATATTTTTCACAGTAGAAATACACTATCTTTATTATGAAGTGTTTGAAAAACATGTATATAACCCTTTGTATTAACCAGTTTGACTAGCATTCATTAATTAGCTATGTTGAAAAAGATGTTTGGTAACTTAACTGAATGCTAAAAAGTAAATGTAATGTGTTGTTTTTTAAAGTGTTCAAAAAACATGCTAGATATAATGATATAAATGATAACATTTTGACCCCTAAAATTGCTACTGAGCATTTAAACTTTAAAGTCATAATGAAAAGAAAGAAAGAGCGCATTATGCTACTTAATATGCCGCATACCAAACACCCACTATATGTTCCAACAGCTTGACAGAAATGTAACTAATTCCACGAGTAGTAAAAAAAAGGTGTTATCTAGATTACAGTGGTGGTTTTCCTCATAAAAAAGATCAGGTATCATACTATCATATAGTACATGCAATGATTGACTCCATTTGCAGGGTTTTTTTGCTTCATTATTATTATTATGTAATATGAGTTTTAGTATATTTGTCTAGTTGAAGAATGGCTGGGGCTTTCTTGATACCCACTTTGGGTGTCATAATATGACATCGGGCCATCTATAGTCTCTATGATGCTCCGTTGGATTTCTAAGTGGGTCCTGCTTTTCCTACCCCTTAATTCCACCACAAACCATTGCCCTCAATCCGAAGCGGTACTGTAGCTAATCAGCAATGTTATGGGGGGGGGGAGTTGTTGGGGTTAGGAGGGTAGGACCCACTTTGAGACCCAAACGGGGCATTTTAGGGCCTCGGTGTTGACACCCAAAATCAATATCAAAAGAACCCCATGTTGAAGAATATACCATCATCTAGGATTCCAATTTTTGATACTAAAGTTTGTTTGGACCATTTGGATTTGAAAACAGGGAATAAAAGTCAATTGGATTACAACTTGTTTGGAGCTTGATTTAAGTTCAAAAATGGGAAAACAACAATTTCAGAGAAGGACAGGTTCCTGCTTGATATTCTCAACAGCTATAGTATTTGATTGACATTCATTAATTGCACAAAAATTGTTCATCTTAAAATTTGAATCTCTTTAAATTGTATTTGGAGAATCACAGGTATGAAGAGACGAAACAACAAAGAGCCATTTTGGCAGAACAAGCGCGTTGTTAGTGACAAGAAGATGGAAGAAGACCCACTCTTTAGTTCAGGCTAGTTTGAAGAACACTTCATATAATTTACTACATTTGTAGTTATTGAAAAAAAACATCTTCTCTTTGTATCTTTCTGTTTTTGATAACCTTTTTCATTCCATAGATGATCAATCCAATGGGAAGTTAGAGAAAGAAAATGGAATCAGACATGAAGTAATGATTCATAAAGAGCCAACGATGTATGATAATTTGTTGAGGTCATTGAGGTAACTAGTCTCTGTTTGTCAACACGGGGGGGGGGGGGCAACATCACCCAGCCATCTAATTAAATGTTCTAGTTTGTCTCCCTGCTAATAAGATAGACATTATCATAGGCAATTTAGGGTTTTCAGACTTCTATAGCGTATTATTAATATTAGCTTGCTAGATCTGCTATTAAAAAACTAAAGAATGCAATTCGATGATGTATTGCCTTGTTGAAAATTTCCACTTCAAGTAGGAAAAAAGTGGTTACAGCTGGTTCAGAAGAGGATTCAGATGATCAAGAGAAACATGATGGAAATGAAGAGAGTACAGAAGGTGAGGAACATAATTTGTGGCTAAAAAAGCCTCGATAACATACTCTAAGTTTAGCAATTCTTGGTTTTGAATTTTTAAGGATTATTTTTATTTTGTGCTCATTGCCAACAGATCTAAAAGAGTAACCTTTTGATCATGTTTTTGCTTTAGGTAAATAGTGGACTAAATCAAAGTGACACATTAAACCTCCTTGCTTCTAACTTTGTATGAAGTTGAGCCTGTAAATGAAACAATGCATCAAGGGTCGAAGGGAACTATCTTTTTGTTCTTTAAAGGGGTAAGGTTGTGTGCATCTTGATCCTCATACCCCAATGGGATTGGGATTATATGGGAGTTACTGTTGTTGTATGCCTCCCCCAATTTTGGGA